GTATTGTTGGTTCTGGCGGGCGGAGGCCAGGGATGGAGGAAACATTCTTCCATTCACAGGAGGGCTCCTTACAACGCTTATCTGGCCCCAAATGTCAATAGTGCTGTTGAGAGAAACCCTGCTCTAGAAACACTCGCTCATATGATCCCCATGTTGTTGCTGAGGAATAACGAGGTGGAAAGTCCCCAGAGCAGCTCAGTGTAGCAATTTACTGAAACATCAGAATTTTTGTTTTAATACCCAACCTAAAAGAAGGCTTCTGAGTTTCTAACTTTGGTAAGAAGCATCTTTTGAACACGGTGTTCCTCTCCATCTCCTCTGCCTCGTGGTGGGGGCAGGTGTGGAGGGAGGTGGGTAGGTATCATCAGACTAAGATTTAGAAGAGTTTTCTAGTTTTCTATAGGAGTGTGTAGCAGTAAAGCATCAGTCTTATTTCCAAGCTATTGGGTTGGCCAAAAAGTTCGTTTGGGTTTTCCATCTGGTATGGAAGACCCAAATGAACTTTTTGGCCAACCCAAATATTTATGAGGGCCTATTCTGAACGAAAAGTGCTAAGCTGAGAGATGGGGGAGAAATCTGATTTTGACAATGAGTGGAGCCAGAATGGCATTCCTGGCAGAAGTCAAATTGGGTTTCTAGAGGGAGGCTATTAGGAAAAGAAGTACCTAGAACAGCCCCCTGAGTTTGGAAGGCAAATTCTATGTTCAATGACAGAAATAATTTTAGAGGTTCAGAGTAAAAGTGCATGGAGAGAATTGTGTGTCACGAGTTCTCTGGTTTGAGTGCTGGCTCTTGGAGATGGTCTCTTCATTCATTCATACATGTTAGTATCTCAGCTCAGCATGGCTTATAAAGATCAAGATCTAGATACTCCGGTAATGGGGCAGGGGGTAAGGAGACTGGGGTGCATAGTGGCTAAGAACACACCCTTGAGTTGGACTGGCTTTGAATTCTGGCTCTGCCGTTTACCAGGCTTGTATCTTTGGGCAATTTATTTACTCTTTCAGCCTCAGTTCCCTCATCTGTGAACTGGGTATTATAATAGTGCTAATGGGGTTATTTGAAGATTAAATGAGTTCATCTATGTTAAGTACTTAGAACACTGATACATGGTAAGGCCTATTTAAGTGTTAGCTGTCATTATGGTTGTCAATCTTTTCCTTACCTCTTTCCCTAATCTGCTTACACGCACTGGCTTCAGTTGCTAAAAATGAGTTGTAAGATTTTCTTCATGTTCTTTGCTATCAATGCCATGGGAAAGATCCATTCATTTTTTTTTTCAATCAATCAACATATTTTGAGCATCTGCTCCCCTATTGGATCCTAGATGTGGGGCTACAGAGATGTTCAGGAACATAAACTTTGATTCATTGGGTCAGATCAGTGCCCAGGAGGGCTGGTGAGTGCCAGACTCCTCTTAAGTGGCCATCTTGTAAGGTATATATCTCAAACATGGCTCTGTGAGAGGCAGGATGATGGTTGCAAAAGCACGTCAGGGTCAGTAGATCTGGGTTCAAACGCTGGCACACTCTTTTACCAGGCTATGTATGGCTCATAACCTGCCCCAATCTTACTTTCTTCACTATCTAATGATACCAGCTACCTCACAAAGTTCTTGTGAAAATATTAGAGATGAGTTATATAAATCCCTGGTACACAGTAGGTGCTCAGGATTGGCTGTAGCTATCATAAACCTATAGGCCATGAGCTCATTTTACCTCTGTGGAACCTGTTGGTATTTTTTGACTGTGCCACCTAGTGGGGTCATTTCCTCCCTGGGCCACATGAGTTGGGCAAAACTAGCTGCTAATCTCAACCCTGCCACTGACTTTCTCTGTGACTTACCCTTCCTTGAGCTTTAGCCTTGCCACATATAAAATACAGACAATAATGGTTCCTACATCTCAGGGTTGTTTGCAGGCTTAAATGAAATAATCCATATATAATGTGCCTGCTACACACTTGACTCTAAAAAAGTAAATGGTAGCTACTATTTATCGCAAAAGTACACATAGTAGCTTCAGAGCTTCAGGGTTGATGGCTATCTTACTCATACTCTTCATTAATTTTGGTTTTGTTGGTTTTTTTTTTTTTTTTACTTCATTATTCTTTTCTGAATTTATTCACAGTTAAACCGTTTTTTGGAAGTTTTACTCCCGTCTGTTAATATTTGTGAGTGATTTTATTTAGCTGTAAGCTTGGAATGCATACAATTTTGTGTTCCACTTTTTTCACTTAATATATGGTTAACAGTGTCTGTGTTTCATAAACCCTGTTGTAGTGACTGCATAATGTATTGTTGAGTAGATGTGCCATATTTAATTATTTCTCTATTGCTGTGCAATTAAGTTGTTTGCAATATTTTGCAATTATAGTGTTTGAATGAATGAGTAACAGTGTATATAGCTTTTTGACATTTTAAACTTAGTTCTGTGGGATGAATTTCTAGGAATATTGTTTGGTCAAGGGGAATAAACATATCTTTTGAATACATATGGCCAAGTTGCTTTCCCAAAGGGCTCAACTGACTTACATTTCCATCTTTATTATTTTGTAAACTTCAGTTCATTCTCTCACTCAACACACATTCTTAAAGCCCTTATCATGTGGCAGGCTCAGTGAGAAGAAAGGGACACTGGAGGAGGAGCCCCTGCTATGCCCAGTGCTGGTAGAGGCTCAGGGTACTTGGGGAGCCCAAGGAGGGACTTGCAGCTCAGCTGGTAGAGGAGGCTGAATGTCATTTGAAAGCTTGGAGATTTCGCTGTGTGTTGCCTCTTTGGGATTATTTACAGAAATATTTAGCAAGACCAGCCCCATCTTTGGTCTTGGAGACCCCATTGACAGCATGCTTTCTTCCAAAGGACCCATTTGTCTTTTTTTTTTTCCTGGTGTGCTATCTAGAGCAAACTGTTCTTCATAGTTATATGGTAACAGTGGTTTTTTGTTTGTTTGTTCTACTAGAGAAGTAATACATGCTCATTATGGAAAATTTAGAAAACACAGGAAGGTGTTTAAAAAAAATCACCCATGTTCTTATCATCCAAGGACATCCACTGTCCTCATCCATGTATTTCCTTCTAAAAAGAAGATTTAAAAAAGAGTTTAATGTGGAACCATATCAAAGGTCTTTGGAATGTAAAATACCAGAAATCCAATGACGAATAATAAACAAAAGCTAAAACCAATCTGAAGCAGAAAGGTTAAATTAATTATGATCTATTCACAGCATGGAGTATCAAGTGGCCATTAAAATCCATATTTTAAGAGAGTATTTTGTCATGGAAAACACTCCCAGTATGATGTTCAATGAAAAAGCAAAATACAAAATTATATATGCTGTATAATCTCAATTTTGTAGAGAAAAATTTATTATTTATGTATGAATAGGAAAAAAAGACAAAAAATATTAATGGAGAACCATTGTTAGCTTAATTTACTAGGGATTATCTCCAGGAAGTAGGATTAATGGTGATTTATGTTTATTTTTTTCTACTTTTCTGTATATATTTTTTAATTTCAAAATTCTCATAATAAAAATATATGGACTTGGGGATCAAAAAAAATTCTGTTTAAATAAAAGGAGGGATTTCATATCAGTGTTCTCTTGGCTCTGAAGCCACAGTTGTAGTTACTCTCAACCACAAGGGCCCGTGACTATTCAGGGCTCTTTGGTGTTCATCCTAATTAGAACATCTGAGTCCAGAACTGAAAGGAATGAAGGAGGTGAGGCTTCAGGCCATGGAACTAGTTGTCCAAACACCATAGATTCAGTTAGATTATGTCTCATGATTTCCATCCTGTCCCTGTGCTTATTTATCCCCTGGTAACTCACTGAGGCAGGTTTTTCCTTTAGAGAAACCCCATTGCTTTAACTGGTGGATCACAGTTACATATGTTTAATGATCTTCTAACCCACTGGAGAAGGTGGTGACCAGATCTTGATGGATGGGGAAGGACTTTGCACTCTTCCCAGATCTTTCCAGTCCTGGGGGCACACAGGTCACTATGGAACTACATGTGAATTTCCATTGTCCTTTGGAGCCCTATTCTCAGCCCTGCAGAGGGCAACTTTGTGTGTTCCTTTAGAGCCAAGGTGGTGTGTATTTAGCACAGCAGGTTGCCCTGGCCCTCTTCTTTTAACAAATGGTCATAACATACCTGACACTATGCTAAGGCTGGAGATGCAAAGATGACTTGGTCCAGTGCTTGCCTTCAGGGTACTCATATAGGAAGCCAGTGATAAAAACATGATTTCAGGGGCTCAGGGAAACTGTTATGGGAGGAGGATGCATGGGTTACTCTGGGAGCACAGCAGAAGGGCTTCCAGCTCAGACTGAGATTTTAGTAAAGGAAATTGTGCCTGGTTGAATCTTGAAGGATGAGTGGAAGTGAGCCAGATGAAGCAGGGTGGGAAGCATCTTCCCTTTTGTAGGGAAAACACAGAGGTATGGAATAGTAAGTTATAAGGTAAGAACTGCAAACAATTCAGTATTATCAAAGCTTAGAGAGTGGTAAGAGAGGCTGGAGAAGTTGATCAATTGTTTATTTATTTATTTGTTTATTTATTTTTATGGCTGCGTTGGGTCTTTGTTGCTGGGCGCGGGCTTTCTCCAGTTGTGGTGAGCGGGGGCTGCTGTTCGTTGCGGTGCACGGGCTTCTCATTGCGGTGGCTTCTCTTGTTGTGGAGCACGGGCTCTAGGTGCACGGGCTTCAGTAGTTGTGGGCTTCAGTAGTTGTGGCTCATGGGCTCTAGAGCACAGGCTCAGTAGTTGTGGTGCATGGGCTTAGGTGCTCTGCGGCATGTGGGATCTCCCTGGACCAGGACTCGAACCCATGCCCCCTGCATTGGCAGGTGGATTCTTAACCACTGTGCCACCAGGGAAGCTCTGAGCAATTGTTTAATTAACTTTTTTTGTGGATTTCCCAAAGCTCAATAGCATTAGGCTTCCATGTTGTTTTGTTTGTTTAATTCACAGTGCTCTGTCTTATTTCCCACTCAGTGTCAGCTGTTGCTGGAAGTGGCCTGGCCTCTGTTTATCTTCCTGATCCTGATCTCCGTGAGGCTGAGCTACCCACCCTATGAACAACATGAATGTGAGTATATGAGCATCCCGCCTGAGACTTACTGCTGGCAAGTGGAATCCAGGCAATGGGCATGGGCTAAATGTGACCTCTCCCAAGATGCTATCTTTAGGAAACAGTGCAAATGGCTTGGAACAGAAAAGCTAGGCTTCCAATTGTTTGATAAGGCATGAGCTCAGGAAACCATTTTCAGTCCTAGTAGATGGTGATAATAGTAATTATAATAATAGCCAACATCTGTTTCATGCATTTTCAATCATGAAAGTAAAATAACCTTACTGATAGCTCAGAAAGGGGTAATTAAAAGAGCCCGCCTGTGCGCCTGGAGCCTGTGCTCCGCAACAAGAGAGGCCACGATAGTGAGAGGCCCACGCGCCACGATGAAGAGTGGCCCCCGCTCGCCGCAACTAGAGAAAGCCCTCGCACAGAAACGAAGACCCAACACAGCCAAAAATAAATAATAAAAAAAAAAGCCCCCTAAGGCAATACCTTAATACCACTATCATCTGGTGCCTGCCGGGCTTTTTCATATGCATTATGTCTTTATCACACAGTTGCAAATCATGGAACATACAATTTTAAGTAGCATTTGTGTAGAACATCTCAGATTGACTAATATTATTTCATTTGATTCTTATAACAACCTTGTATAATGGACTTTATAATTGCTATCATTTGCTTTAATTTCTTGATAAGTAAATTGGGGCTCAGAGAAGTGCAGGGAATTGCCCGAGGTCACATATGTATCAAGTGACAGTGATGAAATAAAGCTCAGGTCATCTGACTCTCAATCATGTGTTTGGACGACGGCCTTTTCAGTGAGCGTAGAGAATACAGTAGTGGCTGAGAACACAGGCTCTAGGTGTCAGGTTACCTAGGTTTGAATCCCGGCTTCAACACAGGTATGTCGCCTTGGGGCAAATGGCTTGGCTTCTCTGTACCTGGGTTTCCTCATCTCTATAAAAAGGGAATGATAAGACCTACCCCATATGGTTGTTGTGTTATCCCACAGTCACGGTCTTTCTCTCCTGGCTGGGCTTGCTGGATGGATTAATACTGCAAAAATGTCCCGGTCTAAAAGATCAGCATTTGTGGGGGAAGTTTGGCTGGGACCTCTTTTCCACAGCTCCAGTGACTTTTCCTGTCATTAACCAGCTCCACCCACATCCCACCAGCCCTATCGGTGCGCAGGATACAGTTCTTCAGGGAAGAGGTAGGGCTGGGGTCACCTTTGAAAGGTGTTCTCGGTCTGGTTCCGTGTCTCTCAGGGCACGTAGTGGCAGTTGTTTACCTGCTAATTTGCTAGTACACATTATACATATTCAAGTTTTAAAAAACCCCACGAAACCTCAAAACATTCTACCAGATGTGATTTTCTGATTTCACCAAAAAGAAAAAGAGCTTACAATGAAATAATACACACTCAGTTTGTGGGCCTGGAAGGTAACACTGCTTTCTTGTTTGGAACCTCAAAGATCGATGAACAAGTGTGTGTTGGATTTTGTATAAGCATTACCCTAAGCCCCACTGAAGTACACATTTTAGGGAAAACTCAGCTTTTTCATCTGATAAGCTATTCTTTCTCGGGAATTATCACAAGCAGACGAGACAGTGTAAGGGAAGTAGTGCAGGCCTTGGTATCAGACAGACGGGTTTGTTTGGATCCTGGCTCTGCCACTTGCTGAGGTTGTGATCTTGTGCAAGTTGTTGAATTTTGACCCAAATCTCTCTGAATCCAGACCATCAATTCTCAGGAATGTTGTGAAATTCCTATACCTATGGAAGATAGATAAGACTATCTATGTACTTACTGCAACCTTACTTCCTGTTCTCACCGCCTTCTAGGGACCTAGCTGGAAGGGCAGAGAGTTAAGGTGAGGCCTACAGAGGTGTCTTGTCTCTAGGAACAAAGGATTGGTATATAATTCTTCCCCATAAATCTTTCCCAGTTTGACCCAGACCCATCAAGGTCCTAATCACTTCCCTGGGTCATGAGACTCCATTAAGCTACTGGATTGTCATCCTGTGCACCAATGCCAAGTCCTTACCCTGCTTTTATTTGCAAATCAGGTGGGACACGACACACGAGGGAGGGTCTTTGCTTCACTCACCAAGGTTTAGACTGAAGCACGTTGTTGGTGTGCCGGACCAACATCACCCTGCTTTTGGTGCCAGTATTTCCTGGAGGTTAAAGGGGAGAATCCCTTGGTCCTTTGAGTATTTGGTTGGTTTACATAAATCTCCCCTGAATGAGGAGCAGCTGACCTAGGCAAGGGACCTTGTTTGGTTTTCCTTGAACTATTAACAGGGAGATAAGGGGATTAACTGAGTAAACGTTCAACAGGCCAGAGTCCCTGCAGAGGGTGGCCACAGGGTCCAGATCTTGGTTCATCCTTGCTTTGGATGTTGCCTCTCTGGTTGGAATGTGGATAGAAGAAAAAGAAAGATAGAAGGACCCCAATATTGAAATGCAAAGTGTAGCAAGTCCTGGCTGTGGGTGAACTTCTGGGGAGACTCTGTTAGTCCATTTGCATGAAAATAGTAAGCTGAATAAAACTGGGTTTCTGCCTGGGGGAGGGGGGGACTGTGTGATGGAAGGAGTGTTGCTGGCTGAGCGAGAGCCAAGGAAGTACTGTTGTAGGCTGGCCACCACAGTGCCTCAGTAACCCTAACGGGCCCATCCACTGAGCCTTAATCTCTGCCAGGCACTTTACGGCATGCTTTGCTTGTAAAATCTCACTACAGCTCTGCGAAATCGATTGTACTGTTACCACCATTTTATAGATGAGGGAACTGAGGGTTAAGGGGTCCGTGACTTGGCCAAAGTCATTGCTTAGCAAGTTGCAGAGACTGGATGTAAATCCCAGTTGTTTTGACCCTAAAGCCTGTGAAACTATACGGCTCTCCACTACTCAAAGCCATGGTTCTTAATGGTTGTTAACTCTTTTGGGGTCACAGATAACCCTGAGAATAGGATGAGCGTGGAGCCTCAGCCTTTCTGTCACAGGAATCCACACGTGCTTGGTCTCAGGTTAAGAGCCCCTGGTTCCAGGGCACATTTATCTTGATCCCCGTAAGCAGCCCCATGGCCTTTGACGCAGCACACCAGCCCCTGTACACACAGTCCTGCTGTCTGCAAGACGGTCCTCTGTAATGAAGGGAAGGGGACAGAGAGGGCATGGCCTGTTGGATGGGGCTCGGTGCTCTGATGGGAGGAGAAGCAGCAACAGCAACTAGCATAGCTTCAGAGATGGCATCTGACCCCAAGTCAGCACGTTCATTAGGTGCCTTTGAGGAGCTTGGGAGCTAGTGGAGAAGGTGAACAGAGGTCACAGAGGACAGTACCAGGGGGACTGAGGAAAGCCAGCAGATAAAGGAGGCCACAGGTGGAAGGGAAGGAGCATGACTGGGATCACAGGAATGTGGGTTCTACCCCCGGTCCTGCCCACTGACTCCCTGAGTGTTCATCATCCACTTTATCTTGCTGTGGTTTCCTCCTTCAAGTGTGAAGGAATTGGATTAGGTCCTCGCCAGGGCCCCTCTGTGTCTCTGAAAGGCGAGGTGAGTTGTAGAAGATGAAGGAATGAGGAGCCAGTACTTGCTGCCCTCCAGGCACCTTCTGTATATGGTCTAATTAACCCCTCTGGTCACTTCCCCAAGGCTGCTGCCATGAATCCCACTCAACAGACTATAGTAAGTAGATTAAGAACCGCTATCCGATGCCACATTTCCAGCTCAGGGTCAGATTAGTCCAGGGTGGCAGGTCTCAGGGATGTGGGGAATGGGACAGACAGATTTGGGATGGAGCAATGTTTGGTGGAACCAAAAGAGATAAAGGTTCCTATCAAGTCCCAAATCCTTCAAAGAATTAATGTTTCTCCTTCTGTTTTTCTCCTCCTCTATTTCAACAGGCCACTTTCCAAACAAAGCCATGCCCTCTGCAGGAACACTTCCTTGGGTTCAGGGGATTATCTGTAATGCCAATAACCCCTGTTTCCGTTATCCGACTCCTGGTGAGGCACCCGGGGTTGTTGGAAACTTTAACAAGTCCATGTAAGTACCAGATCAGGTTTTCATTCCCAAACTTGTCAGTTAATACTTTTCCTTTCCCTTCTCAACCTCTGGGGAATTTTGAATGGTTGGGTTTGAGTGAAGCTTCTTTTGTGACGGTTTGGGTGATAAAGTCCAAAGAATGAGACCAGAGAGAGCTGCCACCAGGATTTAAGACTGTGTGACCTCACTTTGGTGCATTTTAGGAGTAACGTTATGTGGATGAAAGTCCTGTGGTTGGGGGGCTTTTCCTCCAAAAACTGGTTGGTAAGTAGAGAAGGGAGATATAGCACATCAGCTTCATCCATTAATGAGCAAACATTCAGTTAGCACACACTTATTGTGTGTGGGAAATGGCTGGTCCAGGAGCTGGGGATACAGAGCTGTGCAGAGGGAGGGGCCTGTCCTCAAGGAGCTCACAGCCAAGGCTGGGAGAGTTTGGTCCTCTGTGCTCTCAGATCACCTCTCTGCCTCCAGTGCTGCCCTATCTCACTGCATCGGTCTTTCATCTGCAAGTCTTTCTCAGCCCTGGGTGTGAGCTCCCTGAGGGCCAGGATACTGCTTTCTTCACTTTTGTATTCCTGGCTCCTGGCTTCAACAACAGACATTAGGACTGAGTAAGTGTTTCCCAAATGAGCCGTTGAAGATTCTTGGAAGGCACAGAACCATGGCATGAGTTAGAAAGGACTAAGAACTGCAGGAGATGTAGCAGGACAGTTTAGAGGAAGCTGCTGCCAGGCAGTCAGGGCCACGTTATAATGTTCATGGACCTTAGGCTTTGTGGCTTTCATGAACCCCTTCTTCCTTGCAACAATATTAAAAATTTTATTTTATAACTGTGTTGGTATAAAGATGAGTATAATCCAGGCTGGATTCATTATTATATGCATTCATTCTGAATTTCTGAATTTTTTTTTTCTGATTTTAAAAGAAATTTAAACATTTTGTGGACCCATAAGAGTATCCTGGGCCCTAGGCACTGTGTCTGCTGTGTCTTTTGGATAAGTTGGTCCTGGGGACCTGTGTGCATGTGTGTGTGTGTGTGTGAGAGAGAGAGAGCTTCCTGGAGAGGCGGCAACATGGGCTGGCCCTTGATGGCTGGTAAGATTTGGTTGTATGGACACATGAGGACGAGCATTTGGGGCAGGGTTGCTGGTTGGGTGGCTGTGAGCATAGGGTCTCAGTGAAGTTGGAGGAGGGGGCAGCAGGAGTGGGTCAGGGTCGGCCCACGGAGGACCCTGCAGCCAGGCTGGGTCTTCCTGGCAGGTACTTTGTTCAAGCTGGAGAGACAGCTGGCCTAACCAGGGCTTTTCTACTTTTCTTGCACCCCCTGCAGTGTGTCTCGCCTGTTCTCAGATGCTCGGCGACTTCTTTTGTACAGCCACAGAGACACCAGCATGAAGAACATACACCAAGTTCTAAGGACATTATACCAGATCGAGCGTTCCAGCTCAGGTAAGCAAAAGCCTTCTGTGAATTGGTTCGTAATTGGAAGTTAACCTGCACCAGGGAGAGACAGCAGCCCAGGCGGCCTGGCGCTTTTTCCTTTTAGCTCTTCCCTATGGGGTTTTCCTCCTCAGTGGCTGGGCTGTAAGGCCTCTCTGCAGGATGTATTTGAGAAGAAACTAGGGACTCAGTGAGTGTGCTGGCCTCTTCTGGGGACACAGAAGAAAACCTCCCAGAGAGGAATGGCACCAGCCTGGCGTTAGGACCGTTAGGGGGGCGGCAGGTTGCTGCCAACCTCATTTTTTTGGAGTTGGCCATATGGTTGCCATGAATAAGAAGATTTACAGACGGGGTACTTCCGTGCATGTAAGAGCAGTTAAAGTTGCAACTTGATTTGGAGAAGTGAAAGTTAAGCATTCATTTCTAAAAGGAAAATGCAATTCATCTTCCTCCAGGTCATTTGATTTAGTCTGGTGGGTACTTGAACTCTGAGCTTTAAAAAGTGACACCTTTATCTCTGATCCGGGGTGTGCCCTGGGCAGTTTACTGCATGCCTTCTAGGAAGCAGCTGAGAGCAGGCAGCTTGCTGGCTGAGGCACTGGTTGCAGAAGTCACCACGGAGCAGCCTCCCGGGCCGTGGCCTACCACGGGGGGCAGGGGGCGGTGGGAGCAGACCCCTGGGTGCAGGCCGTGATGACCTGCGTGGTCTGTAGAGACTTTAAAAGCAATAACGAAGCTGACTGAGAGTCAGTCTGCTTTTTATCATCTCCATGCACTGGCGGTTCTAAACAGCATGAGTGATAAATTGCAGCCATCAGGAGTTAGCTGCTGCCACTGCTCCAGGAAAGTACTTTTTTTCTCAGTTTGGTGTTTGGGAGGAATGGGAGGAATGGGATGGGCCAGCGTTTGCTGAGAGGACTCCCAAGAGGACTCGCCATCCTCTTGGCGAAAGAAGAAATGGTGTAAAGTGCTGGAGTTTAAACCAGGCTTGGATTGGAGCTTTCTCTTGGGAAGCCAGACTGTGCTTTCCCTGGGCAGGAAAAGAGGCAGTGAGCAGGGTGGGATCTGCCAACAAAGGGAGGCCAAGCAGTGTGGGGTGGTGCGGGGGAGGTGTCATTTCACATCAGAGACAGGTGTGACTGTGCTTGGGCTCCTGGGTCAGCTTCGAGGAGCTCCCAGCTGGACCACTCCTGGATGCACAGTCAGGCCGGATGCTGTTTTCTTGCCCTATAGGCCCCCATCCTGCACACCTGTCTGTCTCAGCACAGGACACAGAGGGGTAGCAATCACCAATCAAGGCATTAGTCCTTCCTTATCCCCTGGGGGCCCCCTGCCTGGTGGACCAGAGACAGAGTCACGGTTATTTCTTCCACTGCAGAGACAGTGTGACCAAGAGGAAAGAGTGCTATGATGTATTACTTTGTAGCTTGGTGACTTTGTGAATAAGTCCTTTAGACCCCTTTGGGGCCACTCTTCTCATCTGTAAAATGGAGACAATAGGAGAACCTAGCTCATAGGATTCTTCTGAGGAGTAAAGGAGATGAACCATTTAATTGCTGAAAGACCACATCTGGCACATAGGAAGCACTTAGTGAACATGAGCTATGACTATTTTGGAGTGGTGCCATCTTGGCCAAGCCATTTAACCTCTCTGAGCCTTAATTTCTTCAGCTGTAAATAATAAGTAACCTGCAATGTGAAATGTAAACCCTAACACAGTTTCTGGCACATAGTACGTGTTCAATAAATGGGAGCCAATATTACTCCTGTGTGTCAGTGATGCATTTCTGAGAACCTGGGCTTGCTCTTCTGCCTCTGCACTGCATGGCCAGAGAAACAGACTATGGTTGGGGGCGGGTGTTGTTTCAGATCTCAGTGGGTGCTTCCTTAGTCAGGGTAGAGAAGAGAAAACAAACCTGCATTCAAACAACTTTCTCTGCACAGCTCTGAAGAGAGATCTCTGAGTATGATTGTCTCCCATCAAGGCTTATCTCTCCATTCACCCAGTATGGTCTCTTATCTGCCCTGCAGCTACTTCTTAAGTGCTTCCACCTTTCTTTGCCTGTCTTGCAGCACTGAGCCAGGCCTCAGTCCAGAGGGAAGTGCAGCAGAAATGGTGCTTCTTCCGAGGTGAAATCAGTAACTTTTTGCTGAATTTGAATAGCACTCTAGATTTCAGAGAGCATCTGAGGCTGGGGTATGTTGGTGTAGATCCTGACTTGGAGACCTCTGTTTCTCTGCCCTGACACCCCTACTTACAGCGTGATGGGCTCAGCTCTCTTGCACTGTCACTCTGTGGATGGGAAGGATCCTTGGTTCAGAGTCCTGCCCTCATCAACCTTCTCTACCTAGCTGAGGAGGGAGCCTGCCTCTCCCACGGCAGCTCATTTCAGGTATTGGCAGGATACCCAATATTAGAATACTGGTATTCTAATTATCAGAATCTATTCACTGGTCTGCTTATCTCCCAGAGAAAGAGGCTAATCTATTTCTCTTGAAGTGTTAAAAGACAGCTCTTTCCCCCCCCCCCTTCCTGAAATCTTTTGTTTTTTCTAGGCTAAATGGCCTCCATTCCTCTCCTGGAATGTCACCCCCCCACCCCCAATTTCTGCCTCTTCTCTGGTAGGTTGTGTTTCAGTGTGTCTGCGTCTTTGTTGAAGTTTATCAGAAATTACAGCAGTCTTCCAACACAGAGTAGAAAGAGCTTTGTCTCCTTTGCTCTGAGCACCATATTTCTGTTAATGCAGTGAGCTTCTTGGCATCCACGTCACACTGCTGACTCATATTCCATGCGCAGTCAACCCAAACCACAGAGCCTTTTAAACATTCAGTATTGCAAGTCACTTGTTCTCCGTTTCTGAATTGTGCTGTTGGCTTCTTGAACCTAAAGGGTTCTTCTAGTTTACATTTTTAGATTCCCTGTGTCATCTCCTCCTACCCAAACCGTTTTAGATTTTGGTTTTGCCATATGTTCTATTTGCTGCTGCTGCTTGTTGCCTGTCATGTAGGAATTTGATAAATAGCTCTCTTTGTTCTCATCCAAGTCATTGGTGACTGTGGGACCAGGGCTGGAGGCTTGGATCAGTCCAAGGCTGGAGACTGACAGCCCCTTTGGACAGTGCCATTCAGGTTCTTATAGACCTACCAACCCGTGTTGTCATCTGTGCTGGGCTACCGGGCTCCTGTGATCTGGTTAGAGGACTCACCTTGTTTTTTCCTTCCACTTCACCTGCTAAATCCATTGGCCTATCCACTGATAATCTGTGGATAGGGGAGTGTCTGCTCAAATACTCTTTTCTAGTCCCATGGTTTTCTGGGCTAGGGCATTGTTTTATTTCCACTTATTGGATGAGACCTTAGAGGCCAGTTAGTTCATTTATAGACAAATGGGTTCATTGATTCAAACGTTCAGCCAGTATTTATTGAACATGTAATATGTCCCAACCACTGTTCTAGGTGCTGGGACACAGAGGTGTACAAAACAAATATGGCCTCTGTCCATACGGAACTTCTGTTCTAGAAAAGACTCTGATCCAGCAGCGGGGAGGGACTTTCCCAAGTTTGCACAGCCACCAGAGGGATATTCTGGGAATGGAACACAGCTAAACCTCTGCTGCCCCGTGCAGTGCTCTTTCTACAGAGGTCTCTTGTGCTGTTCTATTAATCTCCCAACTGGGAAGACCACCAGTTTTAAGAGTTAAGTCATAGACAAGTCTAATTATCCTTGAAACTATCCTCATAAGAAATGCATGTAGGAAGCTTTACAGAGGGGCCCCTCACTCAGTTTTCTCATCACTGGAACTTTTTGGACATTTTATTATCTTCTTCCTAAACCGACAACCACCCAGTTGAGTAGGGGTTAAATTAATGTTTGGGAGTCCAGGTGAGGAGCGTTGCTTCTTCTTAAGTCCCTGTCATGATTACAGTCCAATGGAAGTGTACAAAAAGTTGCACAAATTCTCAAAAACTCCAGAAAAAGTGACAGGTCTAGATTCTGTCTCTGTGAGATGCAGTCTGGGAAGAAGGAGTGTTTCTCTGAGTGAGTCTTGTGTGGTATCTGAGATGATTTTGATCAGTACACAGATGAAAACTTTTCATTTTAACCCATCTCAAATTGCAATTTCATGGGTATTATTGCTTAGGAGGCTGTTAAATAGGAAAAAATTACTTGAAGTTAATTTAAAGAAGGCATCGTTTTATGTGGATGTGGTGAAACTTGTGCAAGTAGTTTGTAAATGCTGGAAGAGGGCTTCCCTGGTGGCGCAGTGGTTGAGAGTCTGCCTGCCGAGGCAGGGGACATGGGTTTGTGCCCCGGTCCAGGAAGATCCCACACGCTGCGGAGCGGCTGGGCCCATGAGCCATGGCCGCTGAGCCTGCGCGTCCGGAGCCTGTGCTCCGCAACGGGAGAGGCCACAACAGTGAGAGGCCCGCGTACCGAAAAGTGCTGGAAGATTGGAAAATGCTGCTGTAAGAGAAAGCGTTTGGGGCTTTGTATTAAGATTTGTTTTGGGGGAGTGATGTCACCAAGATGGTGAAATAGGTCTTTGCTGGCTTTGCTCCCCCCTCACAAGAAGATTCCTTTGGAGAACAAGTTCAGGCTCTGTCCCTCATTAAGTGTGAACCTTGGCCATGTTTTGATTCTTTCTGACCCTCAGTTTACCTGAAAAGTGGAGATTAGCTGCTCTGCGGGTTGTTGAGCATTAAATCAGATGACATTGTAGATGACTGATAGCGAGGTCACAGCACATAGTTGACACGCAGTTAATCTGAGTTAGTTTACCTCCCCGTCTGCTCCTGGCTGCCTTTTGGCTTTGCCAATTTGTTCATCTGCCAATTTGTTCATCCTCTCTGGGCCTCAGCTTTCCTTGCCTCGAAATTGGGACTTTGGCAAAACAACCTGAACAGTTTCGTCTTGGAAACTTGGTCGGTACTTGGGTGGAGGGATCACCTGGGACTGACTGGTGATGTGGGCCGTCCCCTGCCTGTAGCTCCTGGAGGGCAGGGCTGGG